TTTTTTGAAGAACAGCCCGCAGGGGTCTGTTGCAATTGCCCCAAGTAGAATGGGGGGGGGGTTAGCCCAAAAGGGGGGGGAATCCTCTCAGATGTTTGATATAAATTACATCTGGTGCATAACTAAGAAAAGATCCTTCTATTTCTGAGTTCTGAGGCACAGGAACTGGCTCGGTGGCCTAAGCTCTGTGGCACTGCAAAGGATTAGGGTTATTGTAGTTTCCTCAGTTCTGAGGCACAGGAACTGGCTCGGTGGGCTAAGCTCTGTGGCACTGCAAAGGATTATTGTAGTTTCCGTAGAGCAACTCTGTATAGAGCATAATGGGCAGCGGGACTGCAATACCCCTAATGCTTTCTAGAGCCCTGGAGCTTAGCCCTGCCCAGGAGGTTCTTCTGCCTCAGAACTGAGAAATGAATTTTCTTCTCATTTATACAGTACACCAGAAATAAGTTATATTAAACACCTGAGAGGACTTTTTTGATTAGCTAAACCCCTCCCCCCCCGAATTCTAGCTGGGACGATTCCAGTAGACATCTGAGGGCTGTATTAACACACACACACACACACACACCCGAATTCTAGCTGGGACAATTCCAGTAGACATCTGAGGGCTGGAATTCACAAAATACGAAAATCTTATCTCTAGTCTCTGTTACTGACTGAACATTACACCTGTGCATGCTGTAATCCTATGTCCACCTACTTAGAATTATAGGATTGTAATGTTGGGAACGACCCCATATAGGTTCTCTAGTTCTACTCTGTGCTGATGGGGGAAATCTGTAGCTAGCACAGCTCTGACAGGTCTCTTTTTAAAAGCCTCAAATGAAGGGAGAATCCACCGTGCTCTGAGGTTGCTCACTCCCACCACCAAGGAGCTTTTTTTCTGTCAGGAAGTTCCTTCTTACTGGAATAATCTTTCTTGTAATTTCAACCCATTTGTTCAGGTTGTACCCAATGGAGACACAGAAAACAAACTTCTTCCACGTGGTGGCCCTTCAAGTATTTGGAGATCATCTCTCATCTTCTTTTCCTCATGTAAAACATAAGAGCTCCCTCAATCCCATACCAGTAAAGGATTTTTCCCCCTTTCTGGCACACGTCATTGAACAGTCTTGGAGTTACATGTTTATGGGCTTAACTGTAGGAAATAGGGAGATTTTAATATGGAGGATACTTTTTTTTAAAAAAAAAAATATGAATTTGTAATTCTGGGATGAGGAAGGTGCACATAGAGAAAGTAGCATGAAACAAGAGTGGATACTTACCCAGTGTGGTGCTTGCTCAGGTTAAATTTTGGGTCCAAGTTCAGCAAAATCTGTTCTGCGTCATCATAAAAATCATTTGGATTCTTTTTTCTTGGCTTTTAATGATAGATCAAAGACATTAGCTGGGGAGACGTTGGAGGTTGGACTGGCCAAGGAGGATCAATTCTCGGCACAAAACGGTAATTGTTTCAAGATATTGTATATTATAGTTGTGAGAGCATGTATGCCTGTCAGTAATGTAGTGAGGAGATGTACATGTAGTTGATAAAAGGAAAAATGGTTGTTATGGCCATTACTGCTGCTGCTGGGGAGTCATGTTTAATTGTTTTTATTTCCTTGGCTGTTAATTGCTGCTCAGGTAGGTCAGGTGTTTGTTTGTTTTTTTTGAGATTCTAAAAAAAATAGATCCCAGCGTTTTCTGAGTCACAATCCCCTTGTAACCTGCCATACCCCACCCCACTCACTGTGTTTGCATTAAAAAGCGTTTTTTAAAGGGGAACAGTCATTGCTTCTTAGAAAGCAGAGGCTTCTTTCTCCCTCAAAGGGCCTGTTTCTCATACATATACGTACGCACTAGCTTTAATATCTGGCTCTGAAAGGTCAAGGAAGAAATTATTTAACAAGTGCATGAGGCGGATCCATTCTCCCCGCTCCTCGGAAACGCTCACAACTCCCAGGTTGGAAAACTCTGCTCTTAAGCATTTGCAATAGGTCATGCACACATTGGTTGAACTCCAGTACTGAGTTGCAAATGGGGTAGGCCCCTTTGAATCAATGGGACTTGCAGAGGAGTCGATTCACCAAATCCCCACTGACTTAGCGGATCTGCTGTAGTTTCAACTTACTACTGGATTTCAGCCTGTCTTCCTCCAGAATTTCTTAAATATGTGTTCAATGAGCATGGCAGTTATCATTCCTTTCTGTTCAATTTCTCAATATCTTAGCCATCTGAATCTCTAGATTTTCAATGCTCTCATTACAGCTTCAAATGCTGTTGTGATTCTGTGCCAGTGCCAATGATTCATGCTTCTCTTCAGCCTTCTGAGGATCCCAACGGACTGGCAGTCACTCAGGACATTTGACTACACAGGGGGCTGGTGCATCTGTTTGACATTTAAGCATCAAATAAACACTGTCTCAAAACAGAAGTACAGGGATGAGCAACTTTGGAGTTTTCCACCTCCAGGATCCATTACACACGGCACTAGGTCATGGAGATATGATTTGCCAAATAGAATCCCAGCAGCTAGAAGTGACTACTTCTGTGTTTTCTGCATTTTTGTTGATATTTTTAAACTTTAAAGTAGGCTTGGGAACCCTATATCCTATTTTAATACAAAGTCTCCACTCCTCGAGTCTTCCGATAACTGGAACTTATATTTACCCTGCGGAGTCTCAGGTGGGACACAAGTCACACCTGTCCACCAATGCAAGTTAAAAGGTCACAAGCAAAGGTGTGAAAATGACATGCATTCATTAATGTTTGTCTTCAGCATCTGCCACTCTGAGATCAAACTGCCCCTGAGCTTGGATAGTAGTTTTAGCTAACTTAATATCCATTGATTTACTTTATAACTACTGAAATGCCTAGGCTGACATCTAAAACCAGCTTTCCACTTCTGGGGGCTCCCACTTAGAAGAGGAGGAAGGATGATGTTCATATTTTCCTCCTCCCTCTCACAGCTTGCTGTGCCTTTAAAAACTACTGTGGAGGGTTGGAGGACTCTTGGAGGAGTCTGGCAGGTAGGGCAGGAGGCTGGTGCAGAGGGAACATCAGCCAAGATTGCCTTCTGCAAATGAAAGGAGGCCTTACATTTGCAAAAGGGCACACAGTGGACCCCTGCCATAGTATTTTATCAATACAGTGGTGCCTCGCACCACGACAATAATTTGTTCCCTTGAAATCTCTGTTAAGCGAAAATATCGTCCAGCGAAAACAGTTTCCCCATTGGAATGCATTGAAACCCATTTAATGCATTCCAATGGGGAAATTACCTCATCGTCCAGCGAAGATCGCCCATAGGGAAGCCATTTTCCGAGCACAGATTAGCTGTTAAAATGGCTGCCCTGCAAAGCGTGGGTCCTGAAAACGCAGGGCAGCCATTTTAAGAACCCGACGATCAGCTGGAAAAATTGTCATCTTGCGAGCAAACGGTTCGCGAAGCATGGACCTAATCATCGAAATCCCCCATAGGAAACATCATTTTGCAATCGCTATAGCGATCGCAAAAAAGTCATCGTCCTGCGGATTCATCGTTTAGCGGGGACGTCGTCATGTGGGGCACCACTGTACTTCTTTATCCTACAGATTCATGGTAGCTTGCAATATTAAAGAGAATCAGATCGTATGTTGATCTGGATAATAAAGTATCATAATGTATGTTAGATTATTAAATGCATGTGACTTTTGTGGACCAAAACCCTATTGTCCTACACAATCACATAAGGTGAATCACACAGATTAAATGTGCTATTTTCCAGGATGTCCGTGACATGCCTGGTTATCCCATTATTTTGCACAGTTGATCACGTACCAGCTCAAGGGATGGGCTGTCGTAGTAAAAGTCAAACTCACTTGTGCACATTTTGCAACTAGATGTTGGCTGTTGTTTTATAAAACAAAGTTACTGAAAAAGCACTCTTCAGTAGCGTGAGCAAAATTAAATCTGTTTCAGTTTCCTTGGTGTGATGCTGATAGCCTTTTAAAAATCTATTTAGGACACTCCCTGCAAAGTATATGGACAAGATTGCAGAGCAGATGAAGAAGCATAACATCAACGCTCTTATGGTTATTGGTGGTTTTGAGGTATTTTGCCCTGCTTTGTTTCATTTGTAAATTCTTGTTGCAAAGTGAGCTGTCACTTCTAAGATAGTGTGCTGAGAAAAGCCAACCAGCCCCCCCCCCGAAAGTCTGTGATCAAAACCTAACTACTCAGCCTCTGGTTGCCACGTGGTTAAATGTTTCATTGAAACTCATAGTGTTTGCTCCCAATGAGTTGATCAGATTTATAATTTGAATCCCTGTAAGTTGTCTGGTTATTCCCAATCACCAGCAACAATAACCCGTGAAAATTCATGGGGTGGGGAAATTAGTGACGTCTAGACACACAGTAAGAGCTCTTCCATGCAGAACACGTGTTCTTTGCAATGTGCAGGATTCTGCACCGCTCAGTATTTTTCCTGTCGTCCCTACGACATTCTCCTTATCTTGATTTGCCCAGTGTTATTTTCCCCCCAGACTTTCAGCTTTCAGTGAGTATTTTATTCTATTATTTAGTATTGCTTTGTAATGATGGTGGAGTTTTAGCAACCCGAGCTTCCGGGTTGGAAATATTGAATTAGCACTACACCACCAGTCAAAGACAGCAACAACTATCAGTCCAACAGAAAAGTTGTTGTTTTTTTAATTAAATCTTTCTGCCAGATTTCGTGAAGATTTTTAGAGAGGTTTAAAAAGAGATGCCGATTGAAAGATAATAGCAGCAGCTATTTGCAGTGGATGGTCAATAACCATCCTAGTTAACACCTTAGTGTTAAGCCATGATTTAAAAAAGTTCATCAGAGAAGCTTACTTACTCAAGATTCCTGCCAGCTTAGAAAAAAGAAAGATTTCTGAAAGAGAAATGCCCATTTCCTACATAGAAGTGAAGTGGATTTGTTAAGATAGTTAGGAGGCAAATGTTGGTAAAATCCACACTGGTGAAGGTCAAACACCAGCTCGGGAATGCAAATTTAATTTTCACACAGGTTCCGATAACTCAGTTCTTTAAGAAAGGAGGCAAATCTTAATTCCCTGTATTGTTGCACAGAATTTGAATGAATGCTTAAAAATACTCATGGTTGATAGATATTTTTCTTGTCTCTGTTTTATGTATTGTGCTCTATGAGGTCTTCCCCTAGTGCCTCTGAGTGGATGGGGAAAAAAAATTAGGAAAAGGCCTGCGGCCCTTCAGTTTCTTGGAAGAGCTGCATGGAAAATGTCAACCGGGCTGACAAAGGATGGGACTCGGGACCGCGTCCTTCATCCAGGAATGGTTTGCAGCCAGCCTTTGAACTCACTTCTCAGAAACAGACCTGGCAAAGGCAGCTGCCATGAATTTTTGGGAGTCTCATTTACAGTTTTTCAGCACTATACGTAAAATATCGGTGCATAGCCTGAAGAAGTGGCTTCTGCCATGAATTTTTGGGAGTCTCATTTATAGTTTTTCAGCACTATCCATAAAATATTGGTGCATAGCCTGAAGAAGTGGCTTTTGCTCACGAAAGCTCACTGTTGGCTTTTTGAGTGGTCTAACGAAGGCATCACCTACTCTTGCATGAGTGGATGGGGTCACAGAGTGCTTTTTATGATGTGATGACCTTTTTTTTGAGTGAGGCTTTCCATCCCATGGAGCACAACCCTTATTACACTGTGTGTGCTAGAGTAATCAAATCCCTTTGTCTAATGCTTTATTTGTATTGCCATAATAATTCCTTTCCCCCCTCCTCCCTTCTTTATCTTTCCCTGATTTTTTGCACACTTTGCCACACGTGCCCATCAGGCGTACCTGGGACTTTTGGAACTTTCCGCTGCCCGGGAGAAATATGATGAGTTCTGTATTCCCATGGTTATGGTTCCTGCAACCGTATCCAACAATGTACCGGGTTCTGATTTCAGCATTGGTGCAGATACTGCTCTGAACACTATCACTGATGTAAGTTTCTCTTCTCTTGTGTGGACACTCACTAACCTAGCCCTCCTGGTTGCTAATGAACAAAGTTGGAACTGGAGATTTTTCTTGGACCAGAACACCAAGAAACTGGGTATTTGCAGCAGGAACCAGATGTAAACACAAGCACACCTGCGCATGTATGCATGCGTACCCAGGTCCACAAATGCATGGATTATCATTTGATTGGATGATACATATCAAAAGAAATGAAGGCTGCAGTTTAATTTGTGGATGTATCCAAATAAGAAATATGTATTCCTGAGATATCTGTTTTTAAAGCAGCTGATAAAATGCTATTAAAATAAACCGAAGCAATCTGAAACTCAAACAAGTCTTCAGCAGAAAAATAAGAGCAGAAAAACAGACAGCAGCCAGATCAAAATGATCATTAATACTCATCTCAATAGGTAGAACTAGAAATAGGTGTTTCTCATTTGCCTTCCTTTCCCAGGGTCGAAGGAAGCCACTTGATTTATCTTGTGCTTCTCAACATAAGAATCTTGCGGACAAACGGGTACTAAGCTAAGGATTGGGAAGATGACTGAGAACCTAAATGCATTCACTATTTAGGCAATGTGAATTGTATAAGCTCTGGTAAACCAGAATTTAAAAATTTAGGTGAGCGTTATTGCTGAGAGAGACCTGCAGAGCCGGTTCTTCAAATCTAAGGGGACTTGGGTAGATGTTAGATACCAGATAGCATGCCTTCTTTGTAACAAATAGGCTGCTTAGAGTTCCTCTTGACTATGAACATTTTATACTGCAGGATTCTCTGAAGTTCTAGAAATTACTGCACGTTCTTTACAAGAGATGCCTCAGTCTGGGATCAGCGACTAGAGGCTTAAGAGATGCCCAGGAGAATTGCTGCCTTCTAAAACATTCAGAACCACATTCCCAGGCAAAATGATAAAATGTTATTGAGGCACGAGTCATTTTTCAAAAAGGAGTTCATTAAACAGAGTTTAATGCGTTCCTGTGGGTTCCCCCTCCCCCACATAGCGACGAATCTGGATAGCGATGTTAATCCTGGAACAGATTAACGTCGCTGTGCGGGGCACCACTGTATAGATGAGCGTTATTGCTGACAGAGACCTGCAGAGGCAGTTCTTCAAATCTAAAGGGACTTGGGTAGATGTTAGATATCAGATAGCACGCCTTCTTTGTAACAAACAGGCTGCTTAGAGTTCCTCTTGACTACGAACATTTTATACTGCAGGATTCTCTGAAGTTCTAGAAATTACTGCACGTTCTTTACAAGAGATGCCTCAGGCTGGGATCAGCGACTAGAGGCTTACAAGATGCCCAGGAGAATTGCTGCCTTCTAAAACATACAGAACCACATTCCCAGGCAAAATGATAAAATGTTATTGAGGCACGGGTCATTTTTCAAAAAGGAGTTTGCCCCACAGGGCAGTGGTTCCCAACCTTGAGTCCCCAGATGTTCTAAGAATAAAATACCCAGAAGCCTTCACCACTAGCTGTGCTGGCCAGGATTTCTGGGAGCTGTAGTTCAAGAACATCTGGAGAACCCAAGGTTGGGAACCACTGCCATTTCTCCTATGGATATCTTCCTTGATAGCGAACTGACCACACATTTGTCCGCAGTTAAAGTTTTCTTCCTCAAAGATCCAGGTTATTGGTTTTGAGTTCTGGTCCAAAAAAAAAATTCTCCAGTTTTAATAGGCATATGCAGGTGAGTAATGCTTTCTTGAATGTTTCTTTCCATCTTTATTCTGCTTCATGGGTTTTCTTTTCATACTTAACTTGGAGACGTCTTCTGCCTAATGAGCTGTCTTTTCTTTCTTTGTGTTAGACTTAAAATACCTGTGCTAGAAAGTGCTAGATTACAAGTATTGTAGTTTGTAGATTTTGCCAGTGAAGTAGTAGTTCCATGTAGCCTCAGTGTTCTTTTTTACTTGGAATAGTATTACTCAAATGTTATTCCAATAACAGGAAAACCAAATGGTGGAAAATAAAACACCATGGAAGAGTCTCTTTCTTTTATTTTAGGAGTCTTTCATAGCCTGGTGATAGAGAGCCTGCAAAATACAGAAGATTCAGGATTCGGATAAAGGGGTTAACAAAATTTCTTGTTAACCCCTTATTTAAATGTTTTATTTCATATAACTTCCATTTGGCCCTTGTGCACAAAATCACCTGATTTGATATTCCACATATAGTAGCATTGCTGGTTTCCTGAGGAGGATTATCCGCCACTCATTAGGTTTCAGATGAGGTGGGGAAGAATCCTGGCCAGCACAGTTAGAGGTAAAGGCTTCTTGGAATTTTAGTCTTAAGAAAATCTGGGTTCCTAGAGTGAATGCTTCATTTCAATAGTGGTGAAGGCTTCTTGGAATTTTAGTCTAAGAAAATCTGGGTTCCTAGAGTGAACGCTTCATTTCAGGCAGAGCTAACTTGCACCACATGTGAAGCAACTGTGCTCTAAATGTGCATCAGAATCTATTAGTAGCATGAAGATGCCATTGTGGTGCAAATGTTGTTTTGCATGGAACTTTAGCTTTGTAGTTTATTGTTGCTTGAAATGTGTTAGAAACTTACTTGTCTTTCTGACAGCAACAGTAATAATCCTTGAACATTTGGCCAGAATGGTTGTCAAAAATGGCCTTTGCTTTCCTCTCCATTGGTGACCAGAACAGTGGTTATGTTCAGCTGATATATATATATATATGAGCTTGGATAAGCATCAGCTTGTAAGTCTCAGGAAACCTTGAAGTACAGACTGGTTATCTGAACCAAGAAGCTGAATGACTTCATCTTGGTTCTCACATTGACCAACTATGAGCAGGGCACCAAGCAACATCCTACAGTTGTTGGTAAGCAACTGGTCCTAGCTGTGGAAAACTTCCTCTGAACCTGAAGGTCTGGTTGAACCATCCATGGTTGCTGGCTCTCGTTTTGACTGTTTTCCTTCGAAGGCCATGTACATTGCTGGCCGTCACCTCCTTGGCAGATCACTTTCTATAAATGAAATATCTGCTGGGTGAGGAGTTTTTCTCCTTGAATTTGTGTCCAGTCAGTGCCAGTAAGTGACCCCAGGGTGCTTCTGGACAAACAGCTATGAGCGGAAAGACTGGCATTCTTTCCTTTCCTTACAAATTTATTTGTGGAAAGAAAAACAAAGGCGGAAATGAAAATGATGAGAGGGTTACAAGTAGAAGGTTTGTTATCTGTATCCCCTGTATCTGTCAAGGAGAAGGTATGATTTTATCATATAAACCTTAATCTGGGAGCATATGAGGTTCAAGTATTATTATAGGGATCACAGTTTTCTTTCTCGCCACTTCCATAATTTTGTAATCCTCTTATCATGCCCCCCTCTTGTTAAAAATGGAAAGCCCTCAGCGCTTCAGTCTTCTTTAAAAAAAAACAACAACCTCTGTGATTATTTGAGTACCCCCATACTCTGATTTCTCCAGATCAACAATATAGTTTTGGAGTCGGGGGAAGAATTACAGCTGCTGAGAGTTTAGGACTTTAATATTGCCCATTCATACCTAGAACAAATATGTGTGCCTTTTTAATGCCACTGTATTTTGTATGGATGTCTTCCTTGAGCCTTTTGCCACCGCTAAGGAGTTTTACCAAGGACCCACCCTGATCCTGTAAGCATTTATAGATTTAAGGGTTTTTTGTCCTAAGATGATGTCACTCACATTTAGCTCAGCTTAATTTGGCAGCTTTCCCATTGGCTTGATTCCGAGAAACCTGTTTGCGGTCAAGGCGTAGCTCAGCCAGTGCTGGTCTTGTTTCAGTGAGTTGGAGCTCACGGTGCAGAGCCAAAGGCTAGGACTTCAGGTCCCTGCTGTGCCTCCCCAAGAAAGAAGCCAGTCCTGCCGAGAGTGTGTGTGGCTGGTAGAGTTACGTGCCCTGCCACCAGTGTGGCCTCGGGCAAGCAGCATCGTTTCAGAACACGACCAGAAGCAGGGGCTGGAAACCCACCTCTCAGTAGGACCTAGGTGGTTAGCACCTAGAAACCCTTAGTAGTTCTTAGTACCTAGAAGCCCTGGTAGGGTTGCCATAAATTGGAATGAAAGTGATCACACATACTTACTATTTGCAGCTTAGAAGGACCCATTTTTTAAATTCTGTCACTGCCACAATGACTCTTGGTGAGGATATTCTGCAAGCTCTAGAATTTTGGGTTTTTTTGGGGGGAGATGTCACTTGGTCACATTACACCATGAGTTGTTACGGACCCATTTTTTAAATTCTGTCACTGCCAAAATGACTCTTGGTGAGGATACTATGCGAGCTCTAGAATTTTGGTTTTGGAGGGGGTGTCACTTAGTCACGTTACACCATGAGTTGTTATCTTATTTTTCTCAATACTTCAGAAACTTTTCTGGAAGAAAAAAAGAAAAGTTAAACGATGATATGCATCGTTAATGTCTGTGGTAGAAACTGATACCAGAAGGGGTGGGAATGTTGTTTAGCAATGTGCTGTTCCTTTTTTTTTTAAGATGTGCTTTGATCACAGTTTATTCATCCTAAGACTATCTGTTCTCTTTCTCAAACTCTGAGGGAAGGGTGCTTTGGCCCGCTTATGCCTGCTTATGGCACGTCCACCCTCCTCCCATCTCTGGCACACACAGAAGACTTGTGAGGAGATGTCGGGTTCATGGCGGCCACAGATGATGGCTGTCTGTTGAAATATGCCAACATTACTTGTTATAGTGATGTCCCCCAAGCAGGAAGAGGGTACCTCATACTAAAGTTTGGGTTGCTGGGTGAGAGACACTCCCTGTCTGTGTCACAGGGGACAAAGAAGGGTCGAGATGTCCAGTGACTGACGTATGCCTAGCCTGCTTTCCAAAAAAAGTGTGAGAAATAACATGAAAAAAAACCAACTTGATTTAAATCAGTTATTTTCCTCAGCCTTTCTGCATGCATAAAAGCTCTTGATTCAGCCACACTCTGACCTTCTCGCATTTTGCTTGTTTCACTTCTTCCACTAACTGTCGTTTTTCCTCTGCACCACTGCGAATTTCGTGACCCAGGGTCAGTTTATGTGAGAGAATCCTGCTCACTTGGGCCATTTTGTTCGAATTTTTTTTTGTGTGTTCAGCTTTTGCACCCCTGAAAAGCCAAACTTTCCAGTGCCGCGCACCCACACGAAGAGTCCCTAGCGGAAGGCCTCATAACTGAGCGAATCCAGGGCGCAAAATGCATTGCTTATCTCTCCTTGTTACCACTGCTTCAGGCCTTTGAGAGCTGCTTGCAGTTAGCGGAAGCACGGGGCCGCTATGAGGAGTTTTGCATCCCTATCTGTATAGTGCCTGCCACTATTAGCAACAATGTCCCTGGCACTGACTTGAGTATCGGTGCTGACACTTCCCTGAATGCCATTGTAGAGGTAAGAGGGCCGTTGCGCCAACACATGCTTCTGGGTTGGGGAACTCGGTAGGCTTAAAGCGGGAAAGTCTTTTCCGAGGCCTTGTGCTTCACACCGTGGATTTGCAAACCTAGGATGGGCCCCAGAAGGTGGTCTGTTTACTGGCATAAACCTGGAAAACTCACTCTTCCTTCAGAAATTCCTTGGAGATAATTCCCCCCTCACATTCCGTTGTATCTTGTGCAGGGGGTTGGGGTAAACAAAGTCTTATCAGGTCAACGGCACAGCTGTAGTAAGAAATAAAATCCTCAGTTATACACCCCTTGCTGATATTAAATCCTTTTGGCTCTTTTGAACACATTTAGTTGTTTAAGAATGTGGTCTTGAAGCAAAAATGCCAGCCTGAGTACTTGGGCACAAAATAGCTTTCTAGCTGTAACCATTCAGTGCTTGAAAAATGATATAAAAATATGAATATAGACTGAGATGTGTCAGAAGAATACTGTCTTCAAGATCCATGCCTAGGAATGCTGTCGAAGGATCTTTCCCCCCTCCCCAGGGGGGTTGCTCATGAGCAAAGTAGGAGAATATCACCTCATGCCAACATGGGGGCGTGCGGGGAGGTTACATCCCCTGTTTGATTCACGAGGGACAAAGACGGCTAAAGATGCCCAGAGGCATTAAGACGAATGCTTTCAATATTCGGCTCAGTCAAACATTTCAGGACGTTTTTAAGATGACTGGCAAGATTTTCACAGGCTGTTTTTGAAGCAGCAGTTCCCAGCATGCGATGAGTTGCTTCAGCAATTGACCAGCAGGATACTTCTTTAATGGTTCTGACTGATGTCATGCGAGGAGTTCCAAGTTTGCTTGGTCACCTTTTCTGTGTATCATCAGTATTTATTGTGAGTTGATGATGACATACGCAGTTACACACACACACCCCAGCTGCAGCCTTTCCCAGACATTTTCGGCACCATTCCCAAGGATTTTCCCCCTTCTGTCAAGCCTCAGGAGCAGAGTGAAGATGCGGAGAGCTGCATGTCTCTACCACCTGCCCTTGTTGCATGCCTGAATAGGATTGTTGCCTCTTCCATGGGTTGATGTCCACTTTCTCAAAAGTGAATTAATTATCACAGAACAGCAGTTCTAGCCATTCTCATTCCCCAGCAAAATACAACGCTACCGCATCCAACTGAAAATTCATTTCCCATAAAGTATCAGTCAGGGCTTGTCGCTTGCTTGCTTTCCAGAGCACAGGCTCACTTTCTGGGTGGGAATGACGTCTCAGGGGCTGGAACTGAGTCATTGCCTGGGTAATTGTAGTTGGTCTTTATGTTTCATTGAATCTTCTGTTGCTTTTCTCCTGTGTAAAAGTCTCATCCTAGTTTTTGAAGGGAAAGATGATCCTTCTAGTTGTCTTAAAAACATAGCCTATGGATTCAAGAATCAAGATAGTGGGTTTTTGTTCTAACACAATGTGCGATTAAGAAAAAAAATTGTATCAAGATTCATAACTAACAATACAGCTAACTGTGCAGATAACCGCTGGAAAGCAAAGAGAAAAGGAAATCACTTTTAAAATGATGTTTGTTTTTAAGTTCATGACACCTGATAGCTGCCATTGTGCCATGAGGGAAAGTTGTAGCCCGAGTCAATATTGAAACATCGCCGTTGTTTAGCGAGGGCCAGTTGATTTGTAAGTTGCTAATGGGTTGTCCTTTGCTAGACCTGTGATCGAATTAAACTCTCTGCAAGTGGGACAAAGCGGCGCGTATTCATCATCGAGACCATGGGAGGCTACTGCGGCTACTTGGCGAATATGGGAGCCCTCGCTGCAGGAGCCGACGCTGCGTACATTTTTGAAGAGAAGTTTGATATTCGGGAGCTTCAGGTATGTAAGGCATTTCGTCGAATCCTGTCTGTTCACATGTAACTTCAGCATCTGTGGGCTGGGTCTCATTTACATGAATGTTTGAGCTCTCTCTGTTGCATAGCATTATGTTTGAGGTAATGAAGAGCTACCTGTCATCCTGGGGGCAAAATCCAGAGCAGGAAGAGCTAATGGTTTTACCTACAAAATGTGGAATCCTCAGCCGTCAGAGAGTTCTCCATTTTGGGAGTTGTATGCACCAGCCACGGCTGAGGTAGCCGCCGGGGGTCAGATCCAAGCCACGCGGGGGGGGGAGAAAACCAGATAATCCGTTCCTATTGGAACGGATTATCTGGTTTTCAATGCATTCCTATGGGAAATGGTGTTTCGCATAGCGATGGTTTCACATAGCGATGTTTTTTTTGGAACGCATTAACATCGCTATGCGAGGCACCACTGTATAGACTGAGATGTGTCAGAAGAATACCGTCTTCAAGATCCATGCCTAGGAATGCTGTCGAAGGATCTTTCCCCCCTCCCCAGGGGGGTTGCTCATGAGCAAAGTAGGAGAATATCACCTCATGCCAACATGGGGGCGTGCGGGGAGGTTACATCCCCTGTTTGATTCACGAGGGACAAAGACGGCTAAAGATGCCCAGAGGCATTAAGACGAATGCTTTCAATATTCGGCTCAGTCAAACATTTCAGGACGTTTTTAAGATGACTGGCAAGATTTTCACAGGCTGTTTTTGAAGCAGCAGTTCCCAGCATGCGATGAGTTGCTTCAGCAATTGACCAGCAGGATACCTCTTTAATGGTTCTTACTGGTGTCGCGTGAGGAGTTCCAACTTGGCTTGGTCGCCCTTTCTGCGTACCATCAGTATTTATTGTGAGCTGATGATGAGATACACAGTTACACACACACACCCCAGCTGCAGCCTTTCCCAGACATTTTCGGCACCATTCCCAAGGATTTTCCCCCTTCTGTCAAGCCTCAGGCCCAGAGTGAAGATGTGGAGAGCTGCATGTGCAAAAGGGAGACAGGAAAGCCAATAAACCTCTGCTCTGTAGACCCATCAGAAGGTTGCTCAAGCTTTGTCTAGGTGTTAAACCTGGAGGTGTGTTGGGCGCCCAAGGGTGGTGGGGATGAGGAAGAACACAGAAGCCCTCCTCCCATCACCACCCCACCCAGAGGTCATGCATGCTTTTGCATGTTCATTGTGGTCTCCATCGGTGTTTGTTAAGTTTACAGTTCCTATCCGGACCATCCCACTGATGGTCCACTTGACTTACAGGTGGGATGGGGATGTGGGGGAGAAGGGCTTACCTATGTCTCCACCCCCGTCCTCGTTGCATGCCTGAATAGGATTTTTGCCTCTTCCATGGGTTGATGCCCACGTTCTCAAAAGTGAATTAATTATCACAGAACAGCAGTTCTAGCCATTCTCATTCCCCAGCAAAATACAACGCTACTGCATCCAACTGAATATTCATTTCCCACAAAGCATCAGTCAGAGCTTGTCCCTTGCTTTTGCAGAGCACAGGCTAACTTCCTGGGTGGGAATGACTTCTCAGGGGCTGGAACTGAGTCATTACCTGGATAATTGTTTCGTTGAATCTTCTGTTGGTTTTCTCCTGTGTAAAAGTGATCTGTCTCAGTTTTTACAGTTTTTGAGGGGAAAGATGATAATTCTAGGTGTCTTAAGACATAGCCTATAGATTCAAGAATCAAGATAGTGGGTTTTTGTTCCAACACAATGTACGATTAAGAAAAAAAAATATCTTGTATCAAGATTCACATAACTAACAATACAGCTGACTGTGCAGATAACCGCCGGAAAGCAAAGAGAAAAGGAAAGCGCTTTTAAAATGATGTTTGTTTTTAAGTTCACGACACCTGATAGCTGCCATTGTGCCATGAGGGAAAGTTGTAGCCCAAGTCAATATTGAAACATCGCCTTTGTTTAACATGGGCCAGTTGGTTTGTAAGTTGCTAATGGGTTGTCCTTTGCTAGACCTGTGATCGAATTAAACTCTCCGCAAGTGGGACAAAGCGGCGCGTGTTCATCATCGAGACCATGGGAGGCTACTGCGGCTACCTGGCGAATATGGGAGCCCTCGCTGCAGGAGCCGACGCTGCGTACATTTTCGAAGAGAAGTTTGATATTCGGGAGCTTCAGGTACGTTAGACGTTCAGCCGAATCCTGTCTGTTCGCATGTAACTTCAGCATCTGTGGGATGGGGCTCATTTACATGAACGTTTGAGCTCTCTCTGTTGCATAGCATTGTGTTTGAGGTAACGAAAGGAAGGAACATTTTGCCTGTTCTGTTCAATCTGAGTTGGCTTCTCCACCTATGCACATCTATAGTCACTAAGATATGTATGTGTGAATTTCCTCTAAGTGTGAATGAATAAAGAAGAGACGTGTACTCCTATAGCAGTAATTTGCTCAGTGTGAATATGGTTCTAATTCTAATATAATAAATATTATGGCCATAATTTGCTGTATTAAGAAACTATTATCTTGACGTCAGTAATACTAAAAGTGAAGCCCATGTGGCCTGTTAGAACATGCCCAGTTCTATGAATTCTACACTTTAAAAGCATGCAATTTCCTTTCGTTTGCACAAAGCATTTTCTCCATTTTTCACAAGATGGAGTGTGTTGCGTTTTCAACAGTTCATAGCGCTCCCTTGTGTAAAATGCTTTCAAAGTAATACCACTGTTTGATGAGCTAAGGACTACGTAAGTAAAGAAAGGTGTAATGTGATCAGAATACATAGCTATCCTTTTCTTTGGCAACTGATGCTTCCAGGGTGTTTGAAGGCAACCCAGCTGTAGATGAGGACAGGTTTCCAAAATAATACAGTGGTGCCTCGCATTAGGATGTTAATTCGTTCCAGTGAAATCACTGTAGAACGAAAACATCGTAAAGCGATTTTA